CTTCGGCAAAAACGGTGGTAAACCCGGCTGGAAAAAATATTTTGAGCGAGTTACATAGATTCGAGCGAGCGGCGTTCGTTATCGGAGTAGAGAGAGGGATGAGAGAGATAGAAGCCAGAGCTGGAGTTTTTCGCCAAGGAGGTAACGTAGGAGTAGCGAAGATGAGAGAAGAGCAAGGAGGAGAGAAGATGTTAAGGAGAAGAAGATTGATTACTCACGGTCAACCAAAGGCTACGATGATATGGTATACTGTTCTTTGTCTTTCTCTCATGATTCTTCAGCCTTTTGTTGTTGCCAGATTTTGTTTCCCCTTGTTCATACTTGCTATATTCGCCAGATTCAACTTCAGTTATTAAATTTTCCTAATGTTAGGTTCTCTTTGCTCCCTTTTGGAATTGTAATCGCAATTCTTCTTGAATAGATTTGGTTTTCGATTCTACTAATAGTTTTAAATGCTTGTAATTCCAAATCAGTTTTCAAGTGCTTGTAATTTTCAACACCTTATATCAGTTTTGATGCAGGGGATAGTCGTCAAGCAAATCCTGAAGTTCAAATTGTTGCTCCTCAGGTAAGACATCAGCAGAATGCTAGGACAATATTTTCTTACAATCCGACCTCTATTTTGGGTACTAATTTTTCTTTCTGCTTTACAGGGTACTAAAGAATGGATCGCCAAACTCGAAGTGCGACTCAGCATAACGGTGCTAAACCGGCTGGATCCGTCACCAAGCAGGTGAAGCTTGCGTCGCCGAAGAAGATATCTGGTTATGTTCCGCCGATGGTCATTTTTGTTTCCGCTCTGATTTTCCCGACGTTGTCGTCGGTTAGTGTTTTCCTTAATTTGGTTTTCTATCTCTATTGGCTTTATTCTTGTGATTTCTGGACCTGATCTGAACCTGATCAATTTTAGATTCATTGCTATCGGGACCTGAGAAGAAACATGATATCTCAAGCAGAAAATATCATTGTGGAAAATAGTGAGTATCGGGTTTCTTCTCTTAACTAATGAGTGGCATTGCCCTTTTGTTGTGATTGATTGTAATACTTTCTACCATAGATTGTCTACTAGACGCAGCAGCACCAATTCCTTCTGGAAATCAATCCTTAGAAACGGGAATTCCAGGTTACCAAAAGAAATCATTCAAATCCGCTATGCGTTATCTTCTCACTGCTTGTTCAAAACAGGTATATTTCGATTTCATTTCTGAAATTGTCTTGCAATCTGGGTTTATTATTGGAACTTGAACTACATTGATAGTCAAGGTTTTCGATTGGAATTTTTTTCTTATTAAGTCATCCTGATTTATTAATTGTCTCATCCATATATATTGTACTAAGTGGTTTTGAATCGATCTATAAAGATTTAGTGTCCACGCAATCATGAACATGTGGATATCCCATCCTCTTCTCGACTATCTTCGGTTTTCTAGTGTATCAGCTCAATAGTTTCAAATGATAGTGTCCACACAAACATGAATACATGGATACCCCCATCCCCTTATCGATCTTATAGCATCCACGCAACTACGGACATTAGTTCCTTTGAAATTGGGTTTGTTTTTTTTAAAGAAAGAAATCAAGATGGTTGATCAAAGAAGTGGTAGATTTGAAGGAAAGAACAAATTATGGTACAAATGTGAGCGTGAACAATATGTAAGTGAGCCAGATCCCACACTCATTTTTTGTCTAACCAGCCTTCTTAATCAATTTCCTGGTGCTAAGATGGTTAATAATGTTTTGGGATGATACAGGTTAAGAGATTGCAGCAGCAGTAGTAAGAGGAGATTAACTTACGGTTACACTCTAGTTCGCCGTTCATGGATTCGCCTTGCCAACTTCCCGATATGGTCAATCCTTTACCCTACATATTGTTGCCTTTGGTTTTGAAGTTTGTAAAGGACAATACAAGTAGAATGAAGAAGCAAGGAAAAATGATGTAAACAAGTAGTTATGTGGTTAATGATGTAATCCTTTACCCTACAAATTGTTGCTTTTTATTGTCGTTGGCTTTCTTCTACTTTTGTATTTACATATTCATCCAATTGTATCTACTTGCGTGGATGCTATCAAGCCTTTGGTATTTATCTATACAACATAGTTTGAGAACCATTGATTCAGATTCTTCACCTACTATATTATGACATTGACAAATTTTATATAACCAGTGATTATCTACGATAAGTAATCATATGGATTTGAATTTCTTTCACTTTCTTTTGTTTTCCCTTTTCCCCTCAAACAAAGTTCACGTCAAATAAAGTTTTAGTTATGTCCATTTAGTTATGCTCACATGGACACAATGATTAAAATGGAATTTTATAAACATATTATCAATTTTGACAAACTAATTTTACGATGCTTCCATTACTAGTATAGCTCCTCGTTGAAGACAAAAACAATTCATCACTGTAAAAGTTTTGATATATAATCGACTATAATAAGAGATTTATTTGTAATTAAAAGTGTTTCCATTGTTCCTTTTCGTTATGTGCCAGGAAAGTGAAGTATGGTTTTTTTTAAAACAGGAATTCATCTCACTGATCTTTCACTCACATTGCTTGTGTGTAGACCTGCACAGAAACTATTAGCTTCTATGTGAAAAAATCAGATATGAAAGAAAAACGAAAACACATACGTATACTCAACTTTCTTGCACACCTGTTTTGAAACCCACCACACCAAAAAACAGGCAAGAGTTAAACAAAAAAAACTGGCTTTGAAGCTCAATTGCTTAGTTTTGGTTTCCCCTCTAAGTAAGTAAATTAATATTATAGTTCTTATTAAGAATAGGATGGCACTTAAGCTTATGAAATATGAAACAGAGGATTATTACATAGCTTTCCTTTGTCAGTTTGTTTTTTAGATGATTCAGAAAATCTATGTGTCTTAGCAAATCCTTAACGGCTGCAACGTAACAAGTTCTAATCACTATCTATGTCTTCTTGAAGCTCGAGACGCGGACGCTTGAGGAAGTGAATGAAGTGTTAGTGGTTGACTAGAATAATGCTGGACAATAGGGTTGTAACGTTAGAGAATGGAGACGTTGATGTCACGATGCTTAAAGATGTAAACGGGAAATGAGATACAGGTGTGTGTGTGTTAGATAGAAGTATGTGTGTATTGGATATATCTCTGAAGATCGATACAGAGTTGGCTCTTAAGGTCGGAAGAAGGACAAAACGAGCCTAGGAGTTAGAGAAACAGAGTATCATTTTTCTCGTATCTTTACTTTTTTCCTTCCCCGGGAAACAGAGAATCAATTAGGTGAGCTAAAGGAGAAGAGAGACATTGATGAATCTGATTACAAATAACCGTGCTTTATTTTGTAGAAAAGTAAGTAAAAACTCTAGCTACATAGCGAGTAGAAACATGGATGGAAATACAATAACTCTCCCAAACTTTCTGCGCTTTATGCACAGAGAAATGCAGAAACGTTGGGAAGTGATGTATACATACACATTTATATGGTTTCCAAATGATCAGCCAAAGTTCACACCCACACAACTTTCTTATGTCCATTTAGTTATGCTCACATGGACATGTTGATTTAAATGGTATCTTATAGACAAATTATCAATTTCAACCGCTCAGCCAAAGTTCACATCCATACAATTTTCTTATGTCCATTTAGTTATGCTCACATGGACATGATGCTTTAAATGGAATTATAAACAAATTATCAATTTCAACAATACCCGTGAAATCTTGCAACCTGAGAAGTTTATGTCAAAAGAGATCATGGCAATAATAACATCGATTTATAAGAATCATTCAAATAACACAATTACACTGCAGATTCATACAATAATCTCACAATAATCAAATTTTCAATTAAACATACATATAACTAAACTTTTCTGCAGATTTTTTTTTTGAGAAAAGGCTTCTTCTCTGCAGATTTCAGAGATTTTAACTCCACTGATCCAAATAGCTACAGATTCAACATAAGGAAAATAAGATTAACGAATCTAAGCTATAATGACAACGCTGGCCCAGATCGGATAGAATTTAGAAAGTGTTCTGAATCCAAAAGCTCAACACCCATGAAAAGAGAGATTGAGGTATGAAGAAAGAAATTCTTAGGAAACCCAGAAATTTGGAAAAAAGGAACTATAGAACTGGGTTAGGGCAACCCCGAAAGAACTGGGTTAGGGCAACCCCGAAATTTGAAAAGAGAGATGAGGAATCATGAATTTGACATATTTTTCCTGGAAATATCAACCGGGTTAGTGTAATCAATACTGAGTAAGAGAATTGTTTTTCCATTGGAAGGCGATGTCTTTGAGAAAAGAATTTTTTGAAGTTGAGAAATTGTGTTTTTTAACTGAACCTTAATGTTAAAATTCATAAATTTTGACAAGATCTACTACAAGGGGTTTTTAGAATTTCACACTTCAAATAGTACCAAAACAATTGTAAAAAATCCATCAAATTCAAAAAGTATCAATAGAAGATATTATCTTTTAAAAAGTCTTCTAAATAATAACACACTCTTTAAATCTTTTTTTAGTTCGTTTGTTTTGTGTTTTTAATATTATTATTTTCTATTAAAAATATTTTACTTTATATATAAATATTGTTATCTAAATCGTATGATATATACAATTTAGAATGAGAGATGAATAGAAAAAGGGAGGGAGAAAGATTGAAAAAGGGAGAGGTAGAGAAACTGATAGGGATAGACAGAAGGAGAAGGAGAGAGAGAAAGAGATAAAGTTTTCAGATACATGTATTTAATTGATATTAAAAACGAAGAAAAACAAGAACAATATAAAGTTGGAAAGAACAAAGAAAACAAAGGAGATAAAGAATAAGAAGAAAAAGATATAAAAAAAAATATGTGAAAAACAAAAAGAAGAAGAAGATGTTACAAGGAAAAGCATAAAAAATAATAAAAAAGTAAGAGAAGATATAAATAATAAAGAGGAGAAGGAAGAAGAAAAAAAAAATAAAGAAAACGAAGAAGAAGATGTGAAAGAAGAAAATAAGATAAATACAGAAAATAATGAAAAAAGATAAGAAAAATACAATAGAGAAAAATACACGCACAAAATCTGAGAATATACCATATGATTATTATAACATAGTAGGTATTCAAGAATCGGTACATGAAAATTAAATGATAAATAAGAGGTAAATATAGAAGATGAAAAACAATTATGTGTTGGACAAAAACTAGTGTTTGTCTTAATTCAGTTGGTTTATGAGTTTTATACATTTATTTAATAAATATTTTTTATGAGTTTCATATATTTATTTAATAAATATTTTGGATCTTTAATTATGGATGGTGTTTTGTTTTTTGGTTTTGTTTTATTTTTATCATGTATATCTCAAATGTTTGTTTTAATTTTGCATATATCTCTATGTAAGTAAGAAAACTTACATATCAACCTCAATACTGTTTACCCGCTAAATATAAATTTAAAAATTCAGATGTCTCAATACAACGTAATCTTCTTGATCACGTTCTGAAAATCCGTGGTCTGCGTAGAGCACGGACTAAACACCTAGTACAAATAAATACGAAAAAACCCTTTAGAAAAAGAAAATCTCAACATTTTCCTTTTCATTAAATCTAAAATTTCAATATAAAATTTATAGGGATTTCTGATTTCATGATTTTCCATCAGAATTTTTTTTTGTTTTTCTTTCTCTCTCAAAAGTCAAAACTTAAAAATTTTATTTATTTATTGACATTTTTAATTTATAGAGTTTTCTAAAATCTGACTGGTTATGACTGGTTGCAGTTATAAGTACGGGAGTTTGCAGAAGCAGATAACTGTGGTTTCGAACCGGACATTTATTATTGGCTAACCAGGAAATGTATAAACATATAATTATAATAAAAATACAAAATTTATATTATTATGCTAAATACATTAATTCAAAATATTAAAAAATTTATAAATAAATACTGAATAATTATTCAAAAACTAATAAATTTTATAATAACATATTTTATATCGATGGTACAGCAGAATATGAAACGGTTTAAAGCGATTTCTATGATAAAATGTAGTTAACCGCTACCTATCGTAAACGCTTACCTATCGTAAACGCTTACCGGATGAACCAATAAACACTTTGGTAGCTGCTAAATGATAAAAGTGTAACTTTTGCAATCTCCGTCACTGATGATGATGACACAGACGAATCGATGATCAAAACTTTGGCTCTACCTTTTTCTCATCGCTTCTTTTGCCCCAAACTCTCATCAATCTTCTCTACTTCTCATCACTTCTTCAGATTCTCAATCTCCGATCGTCGAACCTTCTCAGCGATGGCCGGAGCCGACGGCGACGAGTTCGTTAAAGGAAATGTTTATCCGAATGGTGTCGCTCTCATCACTCTCGATCGAACCAAAGCTCTCAACGCCATGAATTTAGGTAACTTCTTTTCTCCCCCCTTCTTCGATTTGATAACAATTTTCTCGGGTTTTAGTGTCTAATTGAATTCAAAATCCTATTTAAATGTTGCTGAAACTCTCTCTTTTACTATATGATTGTTAGTAGTGTGATTATGTTTTTTTCCATTTACATCTTTGAGATATATGTAATTGTGGCTTTTGTTGAGTTGTGATACCATTTTGGGATTTGATTAGAGAACTCAAATCGTTGAAATTGGCTTTCGAAAGAGATTTTTGTTAAGATGTAACTAATCATTGCAAATATATTAAGAAGTGTTATCTAACCACTCCCATTTGTATAAGAAAGGTTCAAGATCTTGCAAAATGAATTCAAGTATTTAACATGAATTATGGTATTACAGATATGGATTTGAAGTACAAAAGTTACCTTGATGAATGGGAATCTGATCCACGAGTCAAATGTGTTATCGTCGAAGGAAGCACACCTCGAGCTTTTTGTGCAGGTAAATGCAAATTCGTTCTTTTGAGTGGAAGCTAGTTTCTCGTATGTTTGTATAGTATAATGGATTCATATGGTATTTATGAATGGTGCAGGGATGGATATTAAAGGAGTTGCTGCAGAAATCCAAAAGGACAAATACACACCACTTGTGCAAAAGGTTCTAAATAAATCAACTGCAAAAAAAGATGTTCAGCATCATTCCTTGCTTATATCTATCTTAAAACATATGAGATGCTAGAGTTATGCAATGGATAATTTTGAAATCATCTGAATACTTTGATATTTTGCGTCCTTAGGTATTTACTGCAGAATATACCCTGATATGCGCAATTGCTGCGTACAAAAAGCCATATATCTCATTAATGGATGGTATAACAATGGGCTTTGGCCTTGGTCTTTCTGGACATGGTCGCTACCGTGTGATAACAGAGGTATAAACAAATAAAGACTTGTTCACTTGTCCTGGAACTTATTTACTACGTAGTAATTGAAATTACTAACTTGATTCATTTTCAAATTTGGTTTTTATATTCCAGAGGACGGTTCTTGCCATGCCAGAAAACGGAATCGGCTTGTTCCCAGATGTTGGTTTTTCATATATCGCCGCACACAGCCCTGGAGGAGGGTCTGTTGGTATGTTCATAGTCAAATCCTTAAACTGGCTAGAGTTGTAAGGTGCTACTATATTGAAATGATTTAGGAAAATGGCCAAAGCCAGTTACAGATTGCACTAATTTAGTGAAAATGTTTATTGCTTTTAGAAGGTGAAAGCAAAGATTATTGAAGAAGACTTTTCACCAAAATATAACAACCATTGTGGTATATTTGCTCAATGCAAAATTTTTTGCCATAACTATCTCCAGGTGCTTATCTTGGTTTAACTGGAAAAAGAATCTCCACGCCATCAGATGCACTGTTCGTCGGTCTCGGGACGCATTATGTACCATCGGAAAAGCTAGCTTCATTAAAGGAAGCCATTTTGTCAGCTGAAATGTATGTATCAATTTTTATGTGCATATCACTATTTTATCTCAGATGGCTCTCATACATGTCGGTGATGCAGTTCTGAGGATCCTAATCAAGACATCCAAGCAACTTTATCAAAATACAGCAGCAATCCTGAATCAGAGGCTCACCTTAAATCTCTTTTGCCTCAAATAGAGTCAGCCTTTAGCTCAAATAAGTCTGTTAAAGAAACAATCGAAGAGCTCAAAAAGTACCAGCAAAGCACTGAGTCTTCAGGTAATGCTTATAGAGCCTTACTATTCATGTTCTTTCTGTAGATTCTCAAGGAAACTAAAGGAGCACAGTTTGTATACAGTTGTAGAATGGGCTAGTGAGGCACTAAAAGGTTTGGAAAAAGGAGCACCGTTTTCTCTTTACTTGACACAAAAGTACTTCTCCAAAGTTGCTTGTGCCAAGGATAAAACCGAGAACGAATTAGCAACCGTGAGAATTTCAACTCTTGAAGTCTATTTATGTTTTCCTTTTCTTAAGAGACTTAAGAACGAATATTAAATTCACATATTAATTTCTTTCGTGAAAGCTTAATGGCGTGATGAAAACTGAATATCGCATCGCCCTAAGATCTGCATTGCGTGGTGATTTTGCTGAAGGCGTTAGAGCAGTTTTAATCGATAAGGATCAGGTTAGTTTATCATTCACCATCTCATGTGATTTTGTTGTTTGATAACAAACTCTCTAACTGATACTCTTTGAGAAAACTTTGTTGCTAGAATCCAAAATGGAACCCTGCAAGCGTTGAAGAGGTAGACGAAAACGAAGTGGAAGCTCTCTTTAAACCATTACGCACAGATGTGGAAGAGTTAAAGGTCTGATTCTCATTTGCGTTCTGTTCAAAGTGTGTGTCCACAAAATAATCAAACAAAACTTTAGTCATGTATTGGAGAAGCTGTCACTGTAACGACTTCAATAAATCAACTTTCTTTTCACTTATATTATGTTCGAACATAGTTGTAGAAAAAACACGAGCCACCATTGTATTGAAACGTGAGAACATTGAGGACAAAAGAAGAAGGAAATCAAGAAGAAGAAGCAGAGTTGTCGTAAGTAGATCCGACGTGGTGGATTACGAATCCATAGATTTTGCGTTTGAGCCGCTCAATCTTGTCCGTTAAAGACATGATTGCGACCGAGTTTTCCTGGTCCGACACGACCCGGTCCAACCATGTGTTGACTTGTTTCAGCTGAGACAAAACAGCAGCTATGGAACTACCATCTAAAGGACGCACTGCTGCTGCATTTTTGTTGTCTAACGACTCTTCCACGAACCCAATGAACCACATTTGCATCTCGGATTGTATGTTCGCTGCGAATTTAGCTGTCTCCTTGAAGCCATCTATGTCTGTCCACATCCCAACAATATTGTCTGAAACCACCACCAATACAGAAAGAAACTTACAGTTCCGCATTTTGCTTGGTTAGTTGGTTGAAAATGGAAACTTGTTTGGATTCAAGAACAAACCTGTCTTGGTAGAGGGTTGAGTAGGCATCGATTTCTTCGTTGACGATGGTGATTCGTTGTCATTCTGGCTTTTCACTAATGACACCACATCGAGGTTAGTAGCTAATGCAGCTTCAACCCAAAGTGAGACTGGATTTTGTTGATCAGATGACGACGAGCGGAAACTTTCTGAAGCTATCTGACTATATTTCATAACATCGTCATAGATTTTCAGAAACTGGTTGATGATTCGCAGCGGATTCTCCACTTTAGAGGCCGAAGAAAGTTCTGAAAATTTACTGAAACATTGACCAAAGCAATAGCGTCAAAGACCAAACGAAAAGTTTAACAAGATTGGTAGCCAAAGTTTGTATTTTTGTTTACCTTAAGCATCTTATGATGCACTCATTTGCATTAGCTTCCTCCAATGCTCGAGCTGCAGCTTTAGCAGAAAAGTTTCTTCTTTGCATTGCCTCCTGCATAAAATACAATCGCATGATTAGAAATGAGGAGACACTCAGACTCGAGTATGTTTTGTCTCAATATAAGCTCAATAACAAAACCTTAGCAAGTTTTGCAAGATCCCCTGAGATGCTATCCAATGAAATACTACCATCTGTCCATTTCCGATCATGATAAGTGATGCCAAGTCCTTCAAAAGCCGAGACTTCTTCTACTAAACTATTCTCTGATGAGTACGACTTCGCTTTCTCTTCACATGCCGAAGAACTACCACCACTCTTTCGCCTATTTGCATCACTGAGACGTCTCGACATCGCAGCCTGAAACAATTGTATATTATCAATTTCAATCAACCAGACAAAACACTCATGTTCCATTCACTAGAGCACCAGTAGTTCATCAGATTAAACAAAGTTTCTACCAGAAAATGATCTTCAATAAGGTGAGAATTGCTAAATCTGAGTCTTTCTTGTTACCTGAGTACGCAAAATTGCTTTAAGGTCAGGCTTATTCTTAACACTGATCTTCTCCTTCTGCTCAGTTTGAGAATTCCCATCAACAGCAGCAGCTACTTGTTCATCCCAATTCTTCCGGTTACAATTCTTCGCCGAAGATCCGACCAGAGCTTCCGAAACCTTGGAGATTCCGGCTGCAATCGCCGCCATCTTCTTCTTTCCAGAAGAATCTCCAACCATCGGAGACATTTTCAAACCACTCGAAAGCCTTCTTCCCGGAGAAATCGACATTCTTCTTCCACTAGGAGATGGATTTATCTTTCTCCCATTTGGTGATGGTTGTCTGTATCTTGACGGCACAACGATGGAAGGCTCTCTAGCAACCTTTCGATTCTCCTCACGCGCCGCCGCGAGGCTTGGCACTACACATTTCGACGGGACCGGAGAAGCGGATCTCCTCCCTTTCCCAGAAACCGCCGGTGATGGATCTCTCTCAACCGTCGTCGCTGTACCGGAACTGTTCTTCTTCCCCGATGAGACTGACCGTTGCTTAGCCGATGCTGGTGACGAGAATCTTTGTGGCGTCTGCTTAGATCTCTGATTTCGATTTTGATTACGATTCTCTTCGCTCTGGTTCACCGGAGCAAGCGCTTGTCTCCCATTGGGTTTCGGAGCCACCGCATCGCCGTCGTCGTCGTCGAATCGTTTGTTGTTTAAGTAAACGGCGATTGGGTCAAGCGAGTACTCAGATTCGGAAACCGGCTGGATCACAAAATCTCGTTTAGAACCTCGCGCGATTAACGGCTCGGGAGTTCCGACGAAAGCATGACGGCCAGCGATTGGGCGGATTCCGGCGGCGCGTGGGATTGGAGCGGCGAATTCGAGGCGTTCCAGGTAGATAAACTGGCCGAGCTGGAGACGGTTGCTGAGGATGAGATCTGTGTCGCGTTCGGAGAGAGAGACGTAGGTGGAGTTTAGAGAATCGGATATCTGGACGTAGAAGCCTTGATTGGGCCATAGATCGGAGCCGGCGAGGGCTGGTACTATTCCGGTGACTTGTAGGATCGCGGATCTGTGGTCTCCGGTTGGGCGTGTGCCGGAGTTCATGCATTGAAGGAGCTTGAGGAGGATTCCCGGCGCGAGAGACGCCATTTTTCTTGGAGAGCTTTGTGAGGTTTGATGAGAGAATGGAGATGGAGATGGAGAAGAAGACGTAGAAGAAGGATGAAAAAGTAATTGAAGCTTTTTGGGGCGTTACAAGATTCAAAATTTGAAATCACACTTTTTAATTTTTATTTTGAAATTGATATATGGAATCGCCATAACGGTAAACGAGAAATGTAACAAGTGTTTCGAATTAAAAGATCAAACTAGATTCTAGTCCGTCATTGGTGGGTGGAAGTGATTTTTGTTGGTCAAAATGAAAAATAAATCATAAATTATATCTAATTAATATTTAGATCAGTGTATAGATAGAATTAAATGTTTTGAATGGAATGATATGTGATGTTTATGTTATGAAAATCTAAAATTTAAGTAAAGGTTAGCAATAAAGTAGGCCAATTAAAATGCAAATTTGGTAAATATATATATAGTATAGAAAGCAAAATTGTTGATAGTTTTAAAGATTTTAAAAAATTAAAGCCCATCAATTATTAATATAATCATTTAGTATATTATCTTGAAAGTCCATCATCTTATAATTTATATATAACAAATTAATTGAAAGACCTATGAACCAAAAACGCAACAAATATAAATACAAATATATTTAGCTGTAAGTAAAAAACGAAACAGTTTCAGAACAAAGTAAAAATTATGTCAAATAAAGAAATATTGGTACATATTATAAAACACTTAATTATCACAAACCGAACCCAAATTTATCTCTGAGTTAAACCTACAAAACATATATATATAAAAGATTTATTAATAAAAATAAATATAAAGTGATTTATACTATAACATGAAAAAGATGATGGAAATTTATTAATTCGGATAAAACACAAATGTATACTTCAATAGACAATTTATATAAAAAAAAATTTATATATATCATAACATAATAATGTAAATAACCTCTTACCTATTTCTGAAGTCGACAACCTCTTGTATTGGAGGATCAATAAAAAATCAAGAACAATCTGTAAGAGATTTAACATACATTCTCCCATTGTTTTTATCTGCATAATTTAACATATTTTATAAGTCATGTGTGAATATTTAACCTAATTCATATAAACAGACACATTGTTGTAAGTGTTCACTTATAATAATACTTACCTTCCTTAATAACCCAAAATCGGAGAACACATACTGAACGATAAGATTCTTTATGCCTCCACTGATCATAAAACTCTTGAGCAATCTCACCAAAAGCAAAACATGTAATAATACATGCTCTACATCATTAACATTATGAATAAATTCGTAAAATATACCATATAATAAATAATTAGTTATATATATATAATTAAAAATAAATAAATTTTATTCTCGTCCACGATGTCAAAACTTAATGTATCCTCTCCAGCGTGAGCCAAGATATTTTCGACGGCAGAAATAGTTCCAACTAATTCTATTTTAAGACAAATAAACATGAAAATTTAGAAATTGAAGACAATAAAGGAATGTTCATAATATTTGTTGTTACCCATCAAAACATTCGGGTCAGTGTTCTTTCGTAGAATATCAAAAATTCTGGCTACATCCAAAAAGTAACGATCTGTCTTTGGCTAGATATCAAATATAATGGACCCATTCTTGAGTCAAATATAGTATTATGGCGAGTTAGCCTCAGATCTCCTACATCTAGACACACTTTAAAGCCCATAAACAATTTCCACTCCCCTTCTCGTACTCTGTCTTCTAGAAAACGGACGTCTTGCGGTCAAATAAGAGCAGAAATTTTCACACTCTAACAATACATACAATTGTATACGATCAAATAAGCAAACCGATTTTTTAACTAAACCCTAAACAATTAAAACTTTTACATCACCGATTTTATAGGAATTAACATGTAAGAAGAATCTATATGATAAAAAATTTATAAAAATATGATAAATTCATATTCTACAATTGTACCTTATGATCCATGTGTATCATATGAATACTCTCTCCGCCATCTGAAGGATGCCTCCAAATACTCAAAATCTTGGCATCAATAGCCCAACATTGACCAACGTCACGTAAATCTTTCAACTCATCTCTACGGATTCTTGGGTAATCCATAATTTTAGACAATTATCGATTAGAAAGAGTGGATGATTTTTTACTTCTGATAGAGATATTCTTAGAAAGCGAAATAGACGATGTATTTTAACTGCCAAGGCATTGTAGGGAAGGGTATGAAAGATATAAAGGCAAACCTAATTTCTATTTTTGAAACTCGTTTTTTTTTTTTAAAAAAGAAAAATTTTAGTGAATTAAATTGTGTAAATAAATGAGACTTATTTATTTCAAGATGATTTAAATTTAATAACATTAATAACTAACTAAGTAAAATGATAAAATTAAATATCAAATAAAAAGTCTACAGAAATACAAAAGACAATTGTTACACGATAAACCCTAAATAAAATGTTCGTCATTTAAATTCATTACATAAATAGTAATAGGAGGACATATCTTTTTAGAAAATAGATGCTTAAATATAGTCGTTTTTACTCGAGCATCATCTTAGTTCCGTGGTTTGATATTGGATTCTATCAGTAAACACAAAAAAAACTGTACTTTAATCTTACAACTTCACTCAAATTCTTACATGTAAGCAAACTCTTGAACTTCAGTAATCTCTGGGTCGAAAAGAAATCGAGACAGACCTCCTCCGTTTCTAACAATATGTTCACCTACACAGTAAAATATAAAACCAAATATTGACACAGTAATATAATTTTGTATAATTTCAGAAACAAATACAAATTTTATTTACATGTGGTTACTAACCTTTATAAACCCCAAGTCTCCACTCAGTTAATAGAACAAAAACACGATCAGACTTTCTTGATTTCCACGTATTATTGAAATAACTTGCAAATTTGTCAAATGCAAAACACTTGATAACGACGTCCCTACGTATACAGGTAACAAAAAAAAAACTATGAATACTTAAAAAATAAAACAATCTTAAAAATAAAAAGATATATACTCGAGATCTCTTATATGAAATTCTAAACATTTTGTTGGATGGATTCTCGAAGTGGACTCAATTTCATTGTCCATTGAAACTTCACCAACATAATCAATCACACCAACCAAATCTATTAAAAAAAAATAAACGATTATGAGGCATAACGAATAATGGACTAAATATTAGAGAAAACAGTCATTGTAAATATCTTAAACAGGAAAGTAAATATTACCAATAGGAAACGCAGGATCGACTTTCCTCTTAACAATATCTTCAAATTTGATTAAGTTCAAGAAAGCCGATGTAGATATCGCTTCTGGTAGTTTGTAAAGCATGGTATTCGTCGTAAGAATAATATTGTAATTATGATTAGTTGGGCGCTCGTTCCAATTGGTCAAGTCAGTAGAATTCACAAATAAAATTATGAAACTTAAACCAATCTCCTTCGTGACATTCTTTTTGAAAATATTCATTGATCCAGTTATAAGCAGCAGCATGAATTTTGCATCCCTAAAAACGATATATTTAAAAAAAAAAACAATTTTTATCTGTTAAGGATAAAAATTAATAAATACTAAAAAACCGATATAACAGAAATCTAATATTATTTACCTCTTCATCGCAAAAGATGAATTCCACACATAGTCTTTATGGTACACTTATGGTACTGTTATTCGCTAGTTGTAAAACCTAAAACATTAAATAAAATAGTCTTTTTTATAACTATAGTGTATCATAACTAAACCTTTGTGTCAGACAACAGTACCATAAGTGTACCTTACAGAATCCATTATCTGAACTATTTACAATCCAATCTGTTCGAGACTGATTTATCTCATACACGTCATCGTAAACTACCAGTTCGAGATATATAAAAGTAATCATTGTTCCGTATATATTCGATCGAAATAAATACGAACATAAAAAGTTGCAAATACAAACGGTCATTATACCAAAATCTAAACTTCTATCTAGTTTCTATCATAAACAAGCCATATCAAACATAACACTTCTACATAAAAACCCAAAACAATTAACCAAATGACACAGTATTTCAAAAAACAAATAATACTTCAATTGATTCGACATATATTGTTCAATTGAAAAATATAACAACGTCAAACCATAAACAACACCGAACCGAATCATATAATAACCATAAGAATACAATGACACATTCACATCTACATAAATCATAAAAACAAAAAGTTAATGAATGCATTATATTATCAACGGAACAAAGACGAAAATTAAAAACATACCTTTTTAATCATCACAATCATTTCCTAAATTCCAGAATACTTCTTTGAAGACAACATTCATTGTTTGCCTTTGTGGATTACCATCTCTATCTACTATCATTATTTTCAAGCCTTTCTTCGATGTTACCCGAGATATTGCAACATATAGCTGCCCATGAGAAAACACAGGACGAGGTAAATACAAACCTACTTCTGATAACGATTTTCCCTGACTTTTTTTGATGGTTATAGTGAATGCAACTGCCAACGATAACTGTCTACGTCTTAATTTAAAAGGCAATCTTGCATCAGATGGAGTGATCAGCTATCGTAAAATAACTTTGTCTCCAGCTTTATTTCCGGTAATAATTCTTGCTTCTATCATGAAATCCGCCATTTGTGTAATCTGAAGTCTCGTTCCATTCATAAATCCCGCTTTAGGATCAATATTCCTGAGCAACATCACATGACACTATATTTTCAATGTAATACAATAATTGGGAAGTCCAGCAACTTTTATACTGTTTAAAAACTCAGGAGTAAAAGTGGGATTTTGCAATGCTCCGGAGTCAGCAGGATCTATAGTATCAGAACTCGGATATAATTTTGACTCTCCTGTGGTAATTAGTTCAAGATATTGATATAAGTAAGAATAAAATTCCAAAAACAAACCAAAAAAACACAATCATATAAGATGAACATATTGTACTTACCAGTCATCTTCGACAACAAATGTTCATTTATATTGTTCACATCTTCATTGGTTGGACAAAGTATTGCTCTTTCTTGCCAAAATTTGGCCTCTTTTTCCTTC